CTTCCCTTCCCTTCCCTTCCCTTCCCTTCCCTTCCCTTCCCTTCCCTTCCCTTCCCTTCTCTTCCTTTCCCCCCTCTTTTTACAGTGATCAATAAAAAGAAAAAAAGAGAATGAGAAGATGATTTATATTTTTAAAGTAAGATTAAGTGAGGGCATAAAAAGTGTATTCCCATTTTGAAATCTCTCTCATTTCAGCCAGGAGCAGGTGGAGAGTCATCACAAATTATGAAGCACAGCTGCAATAAACTCACATTGACTAGCTTCACTGAACAGATGGACTACTATATTCTAGAAAAGTAGAAGATTCAGGAGGTCATCAAGAAAATGAATTTCAAGTATGCAACCTGACCTAGTTCAGAAACATGCTTTTGAACATGCAATCCCTGAAGAATTGGTATATTACATGTTTGCATTGTATTTTCTGTATTGTCTACATCCCACACTTTGGATAGATTTACATGTTTGTTCAGCATGGTACACCACACAGAGTTAGCCAGTCATAAATACTGAATATTAAATACTCTATCAAGCCCTCCTGTCCTGGGGTTGTATTTGAAGCAGTGAGAGGTCCAGTGACCCACAGCAGGCTTTGTTTAGTGGCCATCACGGATGGCGGCCACCAAAGGGATCTGATTCCTGCAGATGGTTCTGCTGCGGGCCTGGTGCCCCTGATGGCTCCTCCTGGCCCTGCTGCACACCCTGCTGAGGTATGGCCCCTTGAGCTGTGCAGCTGTGACATCAGCCTCGTGTTTATGTTAAATGAATAAGTTCTTCACAGCCTGTGGACTCTCGAGAACCACCATGACCACTTGGATGACTTGCTGCATCCCAAAGCATTTGAAACCTGAGCGATCTCAAACAATTATTTAAAATTAAATGTGCAAAACTACATAAATCAAGCTGCTAAATGTAAAGTCAAACATCAATTTGACACGCACTTCAGCCGTGCTGAAGGTAGTAGCAGCTGTAGTCACTACTGGGTTCTCATTTCATCTTGACCCTGTTCATTACCCTGTGGAAAGATTCATGTTTCATTTTACTACCATGCCAACCAACATGTTAAGCCAGTGGGCACATGATTGTTAAAGCTGGCTGGAAACTCAATTGATTTTTTTCACTGAATAGAAAAGCAACTTCTAGTCCAGTTTTGTGATGGGATCTATAAGTATTCTCTGGAATTCTGAGAGCATAGCTAGGAGCTGAGGTTTTGAGCCAAAAATGATTTGGGGTATTTTTTTCCCCATCCAAATAAGAGAAATAAAGATCAATGTTTGACTTCAGAATGTAACACCCCCCTCCCCCCCCCCGCACCCCCCACCTTGATTCTTGAGAATTTCTCTTTGTGTGGGTTTTTCCCTTTCCTAATTTTTTTCATTTAATCACGGACAAAGTTTTGTATTCAATGAAGTTAAAATATAACTAGGACCTTGTGTTTAGATAACTGGAGGGCACTTAGCTACAATTACATTGACATGAGTGAGTAAGTCTTCTAATGTGATCACATCAAGTGCATGTTTTGTTGTTTCTGTCACTTAAGAGAAGTTTTGCAAAATGTCAGGAGCTTAGGAGAGAGGAACAAAATGGGGAGACAATACAGGGGGCTCTGGCAGGAGGAAGACATAATGATGACTGTAACGTGACAGAAGCCAGTGGCAGAATGATCACTGCTGTGGGAAGCTTAAGAGGTTAATGACATGCAGCTAGGGATGTATGGAGTTTGCATGGACCCAGATCCCAGATCTGATCCAATTGCAGACCAGTTCTAAAGAAAATGACTATAAATCAGTTCAAGAATTCCAGTGAATCGTGCTTTGTGCTCATGGGTTGTGATCTAACCAGCAGTTCTTGATGGAATTACAACTGCCCTGCTCCCACTCACCTGCTATTTGCTCTGTATTAGGTTAACAATAGTAAATAAACCGTGTATTGGGTTTCAAGCTGACCTGTTCATGCCAAATGAATTCGACTTGCCCACAGGCTGTCTTAATTCAAAACATATGTATTGATTTAAATTCCATTGCTTCCATACATTAGGGTACTGTTTAGATTTTTGCCTCATCAATATTCTTCACCTTTTTTAATGGATGCAAGTTTGTTAAGGATTTGGTTCAAAAGGGTTGTCAGGTAGATGTGTGTAAGGTGGTGAAAGAGTAGAAGTGAGGTGCACTATGGTGATGTTGTACAGCACTTACCCCTGTCACCTCAACCAACAGAAGACAGTTTGTCCTTTTACAGGCACAACCTCTATTAGCATCAAAGGAAGTTTACTTTAATTGCAGGAAAGATGGCATCCTTGTTTAGTGAAAATACAACTGAAGTCAGAAGAATTATAGTATGATAGTATATTTCTCATACAGCAATGTAACACAGAAGTTTTCAATTTTTCCCAGGCTTCTAAGGGTTGAAAGAGTTTTGCATGTAAAATAGCGTTTCTCCTAAGAAGACATTTTAAAAAAATCAGAACTTCATTCCAGACTCTGAACAACAAATGTAGGCCTCTAAATAAGCAGCCTGAGCTTTTCAAAAGTGCTGAGCTCTGTCAACCCCCACTGCTCTTAGGATACAACTTCTAAGGCTGGACACCATTTGACTGCATGTTCTTGCAAAGAAATACTAAGAATATGCAGTAGGTCAAAGTGGCTCCTTATCTTTGTGCGGCGATAAGGGCTGCTGCTCCTCCTAGGAAACAGTGTCTTAGAAGCGGAAGGCTGCACTTCTTATCATTCAAGTGTGTGCCATAAAGGGGTAAAAATAGGGACGTTGAGGATAAGAAAGCTGAAACTAAGGCACCTGCTACCCACAGAAGGAAACTTGGGAATGAAATAAGTGAGCGTCTGTTCTGTTTTGAATACTGCAGATCTTCACTTACAGGAACAAATAATTTGCCTGTAAAAGCCTCTGAGATTACTGATATGAGCAAAGGCTTCCTGGATTTAGATTCCTGACTTTATCATGCAGACAACATTCCATTTACCGAGTTTTACCCAAGTTGAAAATGTCACAGTTAACTGAGAGAATTAGATTTCAAGAGCAGTTAAACATTTGCAGGACATCCTAAACCCCCACTGAAAATCCTCTAGTTTGTGACCTAAAATACTGTTGATTAAACAGAAAGTTTGAAATAAGGCATTGACATTGTATCACCAGATAATGCATACTTCATTCAATCTCACAATATTTTAATCCAGTATTCACTTTGCCATGATATATAATGCAGGCTATTTACAAAGATTGGCATTCTTTAAATGCCAATTTTCCCTTAAAACAAGCAGCAACAAAAATCAGCCCCATACCATGCTCTTAACCCTGTTTGCAATCGTCTTCATTTGCATCACTGTTGTACAGATTTGCACAGGACAGATAAAGGGGATGTTCCTTTTCTTAGAGATTCTGCCTTGTATACTACCTGCAGCCACATTCTGCCACTTTCATCCCTTCATAGTTATATATCAAAGTGGGCACACCAGCATCATCCTTATAAAGAATGGAGATTGAATCCAGTTTGGTCGGAACACAACAGGCCTTGGAGGCTTTTTTTGGATTTTGGAGATGCACCAGAGTTTGAACAATAGCATGTTTAGTTGGGGTGACGTTGTCTGTCAGAGGGAAGAAGCAACCCCCTTTACACTCAAAAGCCTCATAATCTTTTGGTGCGATGATCCAGGAATCCCAGCCAATCTCTTCAAAGTTCACATGGAGGGAAGTTCTCCTGCAGTGGTTGGCTCCAACACTTCTCTTGCTTCTGGAGGAATGCCGGTGGGATCCAGTGACGGCCTTTTCCTCTCCCTGCTGTTCCTCTTCAGATGAAGTGTTGTTCTTCCCTAGTTTCTTGAGCACACTTTCTTGCTCGTGAACAATCATCTCGCGGAGCTCCACTTTGGTCTCCTTGGTCCCATTGCTGCGGTCATTGGAGAACACTATTAACAGGGGCAGGTTTTTTGTGTCAGGAGTAACACTGACATCCAGCTTCCCACAGGTAAAACCACTCACAGCTTTAGTCTCTATAACAACCTCTAGCTTATTTTTAGTCTCCAGTTTGTCTGCCCTGACCCATCTTTTCACAGCGCTGGACACTTCAAACATCTTCCAACCACATTCCTGGATATTGTGGGAAACAAGGGAAGATTTGGTACTTTCTGAGTTTTCCCAGTGGCCATCATCTAGAACATCATAAATTACCATGTTGCCTTCCAGCCTTGAGAGAGACCCAGTTTCCCTGTGACAGGAGATATAAATTCTCAGTTCAGCTCTGGTGATTTCCTCATATTGTGGAATAGAGATGTTGAAGAACAAAATGTGTTTCTGAAATGGGTTTTCTTCTGGTGAATCTAAAGAAACAACATCTGCAATAGGAAATTAAAATGTGGTTACAGTGTTTCTGACTATCCAAGTAACTTGATTTTAATAGACTATATATTTTGGGGATAAAATAAGAGCATGGAAACACAGCATAAAAAAAAAAAAAAATAAAGAAAAATCCTGTCTTCTGGCCAAGTTTCAAGGGCAGAGAGTGAAAAGAGGAAATGGAAGTCCCTGGTGTTGGTAGTATTTTACTGTGATTACAAAGCCAGGTGAGTGTGTGGGGGGAAGCATAAAGAGGCTGCCTAGACCAAGCTATGGATGATGCTGGGCAGTATTAAATACATAAATAAGGCATGTGCAGAGTTTTCAGATGTAGCAATTTGTTAAAGATATTTTTACAGAAAGAATTTGTAAAAAAATTAATGGTTTGCTACTCTTCTGCTCTAATATACATATATAAGTGTCTTTAAGAACTGGCTGTGCTGAAGCTTTTGTTGTTGTCTTCAGATAAGTTTGAAGGCAGCTTAGACTGGGAGTTTGGGGAAATAGAAAAGTTTTTGAAAATCCTGAATTGAAGGTCCAGTGTCTGTCTGAAGGGGGTCTTGGTACTAAACAGTCTTTCATGCCCAGGTCCAGACTGTTCCAGGCTGGATTCCTTGAATTTGTGTGGATTTGTTCACATTTGTTTGTTGTCTGCAAATCTATATGCAGTACCAGCAAGTCTGCCTTGGGAGGGGCAGGTATTTGGCTGGAAGATCAGATTGGTAGTATTTAAAAGTCATCCCTGATGTCTATTTAATGCTCAGTGTAAGCTAACTGCTTAATCATGACTGGGTTTTAGGGAATTTCAATTAGCTGTTGCTGCCATTTCTTCAGACCATTTACCCTGTAAAGTAGTCACAGGGAAGAGTCAGATATAGAAACTATAATCTAGGTCCCATTGTTGAGATTTCTTTCTATTTCAGGACTAGGGACACTAATTTGGGAATTTGGAGTTCTCTGTAATGCTGTTACCTGTGTATGTCTGTTTTTAATATAAACAGAAACTTCATTTCTCCCTGCTTCATTTTCATAACGAGGACTGCACTTACTTCTAACTTTTTTACTGCCTGACGGATATTTTAAAAGTCTATTTAATGTTACATAAACAGGGATCTTGAATTTTTTTCTGTTGATATGAGCATGATTGACCATTTTCATATAAATCTTAGTGTAACCCAGAATTTTGGAGGAACAGTGCTGTTTCTTGCTGGAATCCAGCAACAAATTTCTCAGTTGGTTGCTGGAGTTTTTAAATATGTACAGAGCCTGCCAAAAGAGAAAAACTCTCTAGCATCAGTCTCAATTATAGGTGATCAAAGTTTGCATGCTAACATAAAAACTCAGTTTGAAATATCTAGGATTGAGAAACATGTAAACTTTGTTATTTGGTGCATCATCTTAGCTGAAGCATTTGAGAAGAGAATATTGTACAGTGAAAATATCAAAGAAGAAAACTAAAGGTAACTGCATTTTTTAAAAATTGAAAGAAACAATATAGTAAGAATATAATAGAAAATTTTAATGTTTCATTTCTGAAGAATCTGTGGAAGTTAGGAACTCAGTTTCTTCTGAATTTCAAAAGGATCTATTTACTATTAAGGTACTTCTTTAAAAATTGTAGTCCACATATTGAGGACTTTTCCTACCTTCAGTACTGAAGCTCCTTACAATATTGGATGCAGGGATGGAGGACTTGTCTGCAGCATATCTGTTGTATAAATCAATCATGAACTGTGGTGGTTCTTCTTTTGTCTTCACTTGTGAGGGTACTCTTGACAAATTCAAACTCCTTAGTAAATCCATCTTCATATTCTCCAAGAAAGATTTAAAGTTGAAATGGGTCTCATCTTCTACTTCCCCAGGATCATGAAAGTGTGCATCAGACTTTCCCATAGCTGATAGCCTGTCCCAGTCTTCCAAAGGCTTGCCTCTTGTCAAACAGGCAATGATGTTGAAAACAGACAGTGCAGCTAATACTCCAAAACAACACATTTCTTCTATATTTACTTTCTGGTGGAGAAACAAGAGGACAAGGGTATTTTAGCTGATTGCCAGTCTTGTTTCAATAAAGACAGAGGGAAGAAGATGTAAGGCAAACAACTGGAATGCCCTTTGCAAATCACTTTCTGGTGTTCTTTCTGCAGTCTGCTTCAAACCCCAGCCTCTTGTCAGTTGTCAAGCAGATTGGTCATACACTTGTCCTTATCAGAGTCATTGATGCCATGCTTCAGCTTCTGTTATCTAGCAAAGCTCTTAGTTAATGAAGATTCTGTAAACATCTGACAAACACATGTGGCTGGTGGAAAGGACATTGTATATTGTAAAGAATCCACATTTCACTTTAGGGTCATCTTTGCTTAATTACATTCTTCTATCATTTCCTTGCCAACACAGAGAGATGCTTTCTTAGGAACACAGAAGTTTGCACTGTTTTCAGCAAGACTAGAAAATACAGCCCTAGAACAAAATCACTCTATTAGCTATTAACAAATAACATCTCACAAATGATTTATATAATCCCTTCACATATGATTAGAAAATGCCCATTAGTTTGATAAAGACCTGTGATTCTGCAAGACATGATCTCATGACATTACAAACAACCTTAAAACTTCTTTCCGTTTATCAGCCAAGGGCTATTGTTTGTACACAGTGAAATCTGTTTTATGTCAAGTTTGTTTCATGTTGTTTGCAGGCTTGTTCATTTTCATTCCTTTGGTGTATGGGAATTTAGGCTTGTTTTTATAGTATCTTATGCAATATATCTCATAGATTCATGATGGTCGATCCAGTCCAAGAACAACCAATCATTTTTTCAGCAACCTCAAAATGAAGACAGAACCAGGCCTTCCAAGGCCACATGGAAAATAAAAAGTCCTTTTGAAGATACAGAAGATTATCTCTAAAGACATTGTGTGCATGAGAAGAACAGGCCAAGGCAAATTAATTTCTCATGATACAGAAGAAAAACCAGGTTTATTTATGTTAATGAATGTATTGTGATTTAATCTAATGATACATAATTGTTTTTTATGTACTAATAATGCATCATTTTTTCTAACAACTCTGTTCAAGTGACAACTTGGATCCAAGATCCTGGTTAATTATGTTCCTATGACATAAAGTCAAAAAGGATTATTTGGCATTGATCCTGGTCTCTCATATAGCAAGACTTATATTTACTCAGGGCCTTTGTGTTTTATACCTACATGCAGAGTCAAATTGTTTGTGTTTGGATAAACATATATTTTTAAGTGCCAACAGACTTTATCTGAACATGTCAAAGAATCAAAAATTTTGATTTTTGTAGCTAAAATATTATCACCTGCAGCTAAAAACCCCTTCATGCCATGTTCATTATCTCATTGTGCCTGACTTTACCTTCTAGACAGGAATTCTTGTAACTTTCTGGCTCATTTAAGGAGTCCCATAGCACTGACATTTTCCCCTTTCAAAGTGCTTGCACAGTGTAATCAAATTACTTCTCAGTTTTCTTTCTGATAAACAGATTGTTCTCTTTAGTAACAAAAGACATTTTCTCTCCCTGTTTTGGTTTCTTTGTTTTTTGTTTGTCTTTCAGAATTTGAAGGCCTTCTTGACAAGGTGAAACCTAGGGCTATATATAGTTTTCTAGTGGCAGTCCACCAGTGCCACATGCAGAAATAATATATCCTTTTTTTATGTGGTTCACTGCTCTAGTGTGTATATTTTCAAAGCTTTCACTGGCTTCCATTCCATAGCATCATGCTGGGTGCTCAAACTGCATCACAAATCTATGACAGCCACAAAATTCTTAAGAGTTATGACTTTCAAGGGTGAAGTCTTGTACTCAGTAGGAGCAGCCTCCATTCCTTGAGACTAGGTACCTGAACCTCTGTATCTGCCTACTTTAAAATTAATTTTAATTACATTGAGTGCAGCTAGATCAAGTGGTCTATATAAACATCTCTCTTCTGCAAATGCAGCGGGAGTTGCTATATACAGACTCAAAGTTCATACATAAAGGTGTCAAATACTGTCAGGCCAAGTGTCAGCTTTGCAGAAACTTTACAATGAACAGTTTAACTCAGTGGAAATTCCTTTTGAAAGCTGTACTTTGAGGTTTGGCAGTGAGACATTTTTTAATCAATGTGATACAAAAACATATTAATATTGTCCAGTGGTTTATTTTAATTATGCAGCCTTGGCAAGTGAATTGAATATTTCACAGAAACCTAGGTACATTGTAGCTGTTGCTGTTACTGCTGGCAATTAAACAGTGGCCTGAAAGAATGAAATCAGTTTTGTTTCAGAAAAAATGGGTTTTAACACTTTGCTGGCCAGTATCAACTGTTTTCTTATTTTATCTGTCTTTACTCATACCATTTTATTTTAGGATTAGTTAGTGGAATTGTCTTGACCGGTGTTTATCAGTAGTAACTTTCTCTATAAACTCAAGCATTGAGCAGAATGATTTATAGGATGTTCAGAGAAGTAAAAAAGATCTGCTGGAACCAAGACAGTGAGGGCATCAGCATCCCCTGGCAGCAGCTGTCTGCATTTGTGCCATTTCGAATGCAGTTTCTCCTTCCAGAGAAAGATTAGCCACCCAAATTACAAAGATGCCAAAAGGAATAACTTAAACTACTAAAAGTGGTTGAAAGCCTTTTTTTGCATTGAAGAATTGACCAGTACAGGTAAATTCCAAATGAAATAAGCTTTACTAATAAGAGATGTGTATGACTTGTGTAGCAAAGGTATATTTTGAGAACAATCACACTTACAGGTATAATATATACAGTCTTGCCAATAGAACTTTAAATGCAGTCTTAACCTCTTGGAGTTTTGTAGGCGTCCTTATGAGTGTAGCAGTAGCATTTTTCCTTATATCCTATTGACCACAGATCAAAGTGTGGAATCTCTTGCCATAATAGCTTGCATCAGCACATCTTGGAAATAATGTTTTTATCCAAGGACTAATTCAAGATATAGCAAGTATTCCTTAAGAAAAAACAAAATGCTGTGGATGAGAATATAGGCACACTAAGTTAATGTCAGGCTTTTCAGAGCTAGTGATAAATGGGAGCAAGACTAGACATATATAAAAAGGTAGATTCTCGCAGAGAGCAGAAATAACACGGATTTAAGATACTTTGAAAAACGTTGTACTATGGCTTTTCTGTAGGAATGGTAAATTTCTGACAAATCTTAAATTTTTCTTTCTATGTTAGCTTACTCTTTCAATTGTAGTTGAGTTTCTTATGGTTTATAAAAACACAAAATTGTAAATTTTTTAAGGGAAGTCTCTAGAAGCAACATTATACAAAGTTTTTTCCCAGTAATTATAGTGTAAATTACTGTAGTGATTTACAAAGTGCAAAAGTACTTCAGGAGAAGAGCTGCAAACTTGATCAGTGATCTTTTGTAAGGCATAACTGACAGTCACTACAGGGCACCATAGAACTTTTTACTTCTAAGTCAGAGCTTTCTAGGAAGAACTAGCAAGAAGTTCTGTCAGAGTAACCTAGCAAAGCCTCCCATGTATGCTGAATCTTGCTTTTTTGTATGTTAGAAATACCACATTTACATACCTCTGTTTTCTGAGAAACTGCACCAGTTGAGCATAGAAAATTGGTGGCAGAATATACCTAGAACTTTAGTAGGATAGGAGCCTTGCAGTTATTTGTTCTTTAGAAGGAAGTGCGTGTAGCACCCTTCCCTTAAACAAAGCAACTCTTAACAGGACAAGGTAGTGCCTAAAATTAGATTGCTTCTTGAGGAGGAAGCACTCCATATCTTATAATTTGTGCTTCCTCAGGGACTTCAGATGTTTCTTCCACTCTTGATCTCTTTATGCTATTTTATAGCAGGTGGGTGAAAATGAAGCATGTGACAAGTGTGTCCTAGAACATGGGGACAACCAGAGGATTGACAGACACCATGATGGGAACACCAGCTCTTAAAAGGCTGCTGCAGTTAAAAGGCTACCATAAAAGTATCAACAGGGGATTGTGTAGGAGTTAGAGGGATGCAGAGACTTTATTTCTATAAAGACTTCCAATGGAACCACTGCCAAATGTTTCCCATTTTGATGTTCATTGTTTGAAAAGAAAGTTAATGAAAGTTCTGGAAAGAGTTCAGAAGAGAGCTGTGAGAAATTGTTTTAAGGCTTAGAATAAGAAATCAATCTATTTAAATCTTAGCCAAAATGTAACTTGACCCTACTCTCTATACTAAAAATACACAGTGAAAGTATTTTGGATAATAGATAAAAGGGATCTAATGAAATAGGTTACAGTAAGATCCATTGAATTGAAGCTAAAGCTCATCAAATTCAGTCTAGGATTAAGCCACTGCATATGAACAAAGAGCACTAACTTTTGGAACAACTACTTGTAGTCCAGTAGAGATATTCTATCACATGAAATCTTTAAAGCCAAATTTATGCAAGTTTTTCAAAGATATTCCCAAGCTCAAAACAGAAGTTCCATAATGCATGGTGCAGAAACTGCTGAGCAAGGTTCTTTCATCTGTGCTATGCAGGAGGTCAGTCTGGATGATCATAGCATTTCCTTCTATCTTTAATCTATTGAAGTGCATTATGACAAGCTTAACATGTATTTACAAGTTTCCATCTAATTAACAGAATGTAGGAAAGTGCATTTATAGAAAAACAAGCAAATATTTTAGATACTACTGTACCTTTAATTTATTAGCTTTTGTTAAAAGCATGTAACAATCTAGAGACTATAAAGAATAATTTACAAAAATATAAATCTTGGTTATTTTATTTTAGTATTTGAACAAATTACTATATTGTATGTGTTACTCAGAGAATATGTTTGACAACCTGAAATCACCAGCAAACCAAAAATGTGGGATATTACATGTCTTTTGTAGAACAAATTATATATTAAGGAAGGGTAACCAAAAATGACTATATTAACATATTGTTTATATGAAAACTTATGCAGTGAACTATACTTGCATCCTGAAGAAAATATACATTTTAAGCCCTTTATTACAGCATTTTTCAGTATAAATATACATATTAAGAGTATGAGTGTTTTAGGCAAAAACTTCTGATTTGTGTAAAAAAGTGATATTCTAAAATAAGTCTGCCTTTGCAAGATCAATTCCCATCTTCTTGGTTAACTGAAGAGATAAAATAGTCAGAAAGTAACATATAAAAACATATTTTAGTCTTTTGATTATGGAAAATTTACACTTAAATTTCTCTCTAAACACCAG